TATGTGTCCATATATAATACTGTTATGTGTTCATATATAATATATGTGTCCATGTTTTATGACTGTAGTTATCTTCGGACAAAGTCGGAGAGTCGACCTGAACGACCAACCGTTAAAAGAAGTTCCTCTACTGAGACCTGGTGAGAGGGCCTGTGTGCCAGTTTAAACTATAAAGTAATGAATGATTAATGTAATAAGAGCTGCACAATTAGTTATAATATTATCGGAATATCAGTTTGGTGAATTAAAAACTGGGATGCAAAAATGATCATCCCCACTGACTGTGAATTATATCTCAATCACCATATATGTCAAAGTAATCCCAATATTATTATTATCTACCATATTGTGCAGCCCTGATGTTAATACCACAACATGCAAAGCTAAAACGTTTACCATTGTGCTTCTTCGGTGTGTTTCTTTAGTGAGAGTGTGCACATTTACCCACTCGTGATGAATCCACCAGTCGAATATGAGCCGGAAGCTTATCCTGCTGCTTCTGTCCACTCACCTGAGAATGGGAAGGTAAACATGTAGAGCTGAAACCATCAGTTACCTTATCGACCACCAGAAAATAAATCTGTGAATATTTTCAGAATCAGTTTATTTAATTTATTCAAATTTAAACTGAGAGTCTCATCATTCTCTGATTCTCTGATTCTCTGATCTTGATGTGTGAACAGGCTGATTTTCATTGTAGACTGGAGAGCTTTGGGTTTTGGACTGTTGGTCGGGCAAAACAAGCCGTTTGAATACTAAAAGATTTATCAGTTTATAAAAAACCTCCACCAGATTAATTGATAATGCCATCAGTTTAAATACCATCATTATAAAATCTTAACATTTGGTAAAAGTATTCAGGTACAGTCTCCAGTCTATATCCTACAGATTACAGATACAGGTTTCTTTAATTTAAAGCACATATACGTAGAACACATGAACAATATACATACATACATACATACATACATAATGTGTTACTTTATGCTTTCTGTACCACTTTAGGGTTGTTTTCTAACTGAAACACATTGTTCACTGCAAGCATCAACCCTTATTGACACTCTTTGTATTTGTTGTTTATGTTTAATATCTGAGCTTGTTCTTTTTGTAACAAATTTAAATGTATTATTTAAGACATTTGTGAATTTGTATGAAATGTGCAAAATAAATTATGTTGCCTGTACGCTTTGTGCTGATGGGTTGCTGTTCCTTGTCACATTTTAAAGGAGTCAGGGGAAAAAGATGGTGCTTGTCAAAGACTGAACAGTCAAGATGAGGAGACGAGATGGACGACAAGCAACCCGTCAGAAAATAAAGAAAATAGAGGTTAGTCATCTTAACAGGGTTCCCACATCTGCTTAAAGATCAAGTTTAAGGACGTTCAAGCCCAATAACTTCAAATTCAAGGTCTTAAAACAGCCTAGTTTGAGACACGGATCAAGGTGAAAAGGAGGAAAAGACCATACAGCTTCTAAATTCAAGTTTCTCTCTTATACTGAACTCAGACCTCGTTAAGCAGTCTTTACACTATTCCAACAATCACCAACTCTGATGTGTGAAAATATTGTGGCTCTACGCGCTGCGGCTGCCTCTCTGATCCCCGACCTCCCTCACTTACACTCGATACCTCTCATCTCTTGGCCCGTCCCTGCTGAGTCTTGTTTGGAGCCTCTGAGGATCACCTTGTAACTGTATTCCCTGTCGTCAAACTAGTCAAAAGAAACCTTTAATTTGCCGCAGTCAGATGTTAAAGTACACTGGCTCTACAGCTGTTTCTCATTCAGCAGTTCAGTGTGTGTACTGCGCTGAACGTCTGTCACAGAGCGGCTCTTATTCTCCGGAGGCAGACCAATAAATTAAATAAATAAAATGACAAATCAGCCCAAAAAAAACCAACTGTCCATCACCGATCTGTTCATTCAATCGCCCAACTCTAGTGTAAACACACAAAATTACAGGATTTCAAGGACTTGTGGGAAACATGTCTTTTGATATTTGAAGCAAATTGTTTCCAGGAAAAGTGGAGTAATAAATTAATTAAAATTAATTAAAATGGATCCACCCACAGATATTCAAGAAGACAAGAATGAAGAATTCAGCACCTCATTAAGCGTGGGAGACGGGCACTACCTGGTGGATTTGGGAAGGTATGCAGACGTTAATATCAATAACACAGTTTGAGTGTATCATCCCTAGCTTTACATTTACATGTATTATTTCCATACTGTTTATTTCTAAAAAATAAAAAAGTTGAAACAAGAACTTCTGTTCATAAATCTCTTCTGACTTCCTCAGCTCGTCAGAGTTCATCGTCGATGAAGAGTGCATCCTTCAGCTGTTCAGGTCATGCCGGGAATGCAACAGACAATGTACGGTTAGAAAACGTGTGAAAGGACTAAAGCTTGTGGTTTCCCAGGCGTGCTGTTTCTGTGAAAGCCGCTATAAATGGACTAACCTGCCAGATGACGACGATGATTTCCAGATCAATGGAAACGATGCGGCACACGGACAGATCAACTCGGCACTGTCGCCAAGCAGTAATACTAGCTGAGACACAACCATGTCTGAAATGACGCTCCAAGTGGACAGTGGTTGTACTGAGACAAACCTGTGACGGGTCTGGGCAGCTGTGGTTACTCTGCTGCCTCTGTGGAGTTTGGCTGTGTTTCTCTGAAATATCACACAGCTGTCACCAACTTCTGTTTGTGTTTATTTCCTGCTATCAGGAAGTAAACATGAGCCATCTGATGCTAGCGAGAGGCTTGCAGCATTTGTCTGTGAACATCATGCATACCAGTGAGAGAATACTTGGTTTTGAGTGACAGGTGAGAGAGTTTTAGTGGACAGTCAAATTGCCGTTGGTGCAAAACACCAGATACAGCCGAACACTAACGGCAGAGATGGTTCCCTGAAGAAAGCTGGACTGTTCTTTGGCTTTCCAGGGAAAACTTTTCAGATTTCTTACTTCAAGAAGTTATTGATATATTGATCCTTTCCCATCCTTGTGCCAATATGCACAATACACATTTGTTCAAATGAGGATTGTTGACATGTGTTCAAGCAATATTGAACAATGCTGAAATTACTCACTTTTCATTGTTAATAACTAAATTCAAGCCTCCATTTACACCTTCCATTAACTGTCTGTGTCTGGATATCACTAAATGTTGTCTCCCTGCTGGCTTAAGCAAGCCCAGTGAACAGTAGCAGCAGGTGAGGCCAGCTCAATAAAGATACTGAGATCTGATCATGTGGGCAGAATGAGTTAACAACACTAATACTAATTGTTGTCATCCAGATACAGATCATGTGTATAACCTGGTGTAAACGAGGCCCACATACTCCACTCATGAGCCAAGATAATAAAAAAAGATAACAATTTTGGTTTTCCTGTCCACGTCATTCATTATTTAATCAGAACACCTTTTTTGATCATTTGAGCCCCAGCTACAGCTCAACACAAACTAGCATTTAGTGCAGGTCAAACTTGCAGAGCTTTTTTTCCCCAGACAATTTTCCCTCTTCGATAAAGAATTGATTTGATATAAACACCTCATGAATTTAAATTTTCCACCTTCATTCTCCACCTGGATCTGCCTCATTACAGGATTTTGTTCAGTGAAGTCAATAAAATACCAAAACAGTAATCTGCAGCTCATGTCAATAAGTTAATAAGTTAAACCTTTAACCGTGACAAGGAGAGTGAGCCCGCACATTTAAGAGATGACCAGGCATTCGCTCATTAGATACAATATCAGTAGACAGTGTTTTAACATTGCGACCCTTTGTGTACTGGTTTAAAACGACCGTGTCTTAAGTTCTGGGTAAGAGTTAAAAACAATCACAATGGAGCTGAGGAAAAGGAAAAGTCATGAAAGACTGATTATCATCGCCCCTGTTAAACACACGCTAATTAACACCAGGTTAATTAAAAATCAAATGTCATTAAAGTTAAAAAAAATAAATAATCCACTGGCATGGTTAAAACATTGAAGAAAGACATCTCACGTTTAAGGGGGGAAGGAAGTTAAAAATCAGTCAGTGTGTGACAATTATACTTATTAACTTTGCATCTGTGGTCCCTATTTGGCAAGAGGAAAGAACATTTTTACTAGTTGTCTGCTACAATATCAGCACACAAGACTGCACAGTGAGGGAGCCACTCTAAAACATTCTTAGGTATCAAGTACTAAAACCCATGGAAGAAGGGGACTTGGTCCAAGGTGTCATTAAGGTCGGGTATAGCAGCTGAGGTGAGAGGAAGAGTTAGCTAAATAAGCTTGTAGCTACATTTTATCGGAGTGTGGTGAGTTCATTAATGATCAATAATCAGCACTTGTAGAAGTTCTCTTCCTGTGCAAATCTCAGAAGGAAGATGCCGAGGAGACAGTACTGTTCGTCCACCAGAATGTCGTACCCTTAGTTGTGAATAGCAGAAACAAAGTTCTTGCAGCATGTTCCTCTGATGTAAACCCAGTCCTAACTGAGTGGAGCTTAAAACAGCCCTTTGTCTCGCTCTCCTGCTCAGTGCAGATAGCTAGTGTTGTACTGGAAGGAGGCCATCTGGACCCGATTGCGCAGCCTCTGGACCTCCAGATCCTGGAAATGGTCGTCCTCGTCGTTCTGGATGATGATCTTCTGCAGTTCACCAATCTCACGCTCCATCCTGGATCGCAGCTCTCGCTTCATCTTCAGAAGAGCCTGAAAACAATGGGAGTGGTGGATGTTTTTTAAAATTAAAGTGAATCTGGACTGAAGTCTGCTTCAGCTATGGCTGACTGACCTCTTTTCACCATGATGCTTTCATTTATAACTGCCAGTTGCAACTAAAGGTTTTCTAAAACGGATTAACTTATCAGAATATTTCAGAGTGGAAAGTCATCATATCATATATACTCTGCAATGTAATGATGTACACCATGCACAGTTGGGTTTCTTGATTCTTTGTAATAGAATTGAATTTGAGAGCAAAAACCGCTTTTCAAAGAAATGACTGAAAGACTTTGTGGAATACACCCCAGAAAGACTTTGACCATAATACATTTGCCTGTTCCTCTCTGTTGCGGTCGCAGTGTTTTGGAATAACAATTTGAATACAAGTTACACTCTCACGCAGTCTGCAACCAATTACTTACCTTTAGAAACTGTATAAAAGCTATAAGCAATTTCCACCTTTAGAAAACACTGAATAGATTCTATTATATTAAAGTCTATATTTTCCCTTATGGTGTCACAACTGCACCGTGTGCCAATTTTAAATAAAAGTGGCAGCCCATCACTCACAGCAGCTTTTACCTTTTCTTGAGCTTTTTTCCGAACTTGGATATCCTGCCGCTCTTGTGCAAGTTTTTCAGCCAGTAGTGAAAACTGAAAGAGAGAAAGCATGTTATAGCTCACATGGAGTTTGAGTCAATTGTGTAATTCATTTTAAAAAACACTGCAACTTCTTGGTCCTAACATAGGTCACTGCGTGTGTGTGTGTGTGTGAGAAAGTCCTACTTGGTCTTTGTAGTAGTTCTCCATGGACTTGATCTGGTCCTGGTGTCGTCTCTGATGTTCCAGCCGCTGCTCCCTGGCGCAGGCTCTCTGCTCTCTCAACCGCACTTTCTGTAGCTCCAAACCCTCCTCAAACAGCTGCCGAAACATCTGTACACGCACACACATGCACACACATACATATGAGTCATCATGTCAACAAAAAAGAGTAACTCCAGATAATCACACTGTCTGTAATCCAAACTTCACTAATATTACTTAATATCTGCAGGGATGTGATTTTTCTTGATGAATCAGAAGTTCCAGATTGTCCGACCAGAACATGTGACACACGTGAATCATACAGACGCAGAAAAAAAAACAAAAAAAACAAAAACTTTCTGCACGTACATTTTCCTGCTTTTTTGTTCTTTGCCAATCACATGCCTGTATCTGCTTGTATTCTTCTGCTGCTCTTGATTGCTCTCAAACAGCTTCTCTTACGGTTTGTCCACAAAGGACACTTAAACTCACACGCCTGTGTTGTCCAAACAGGGCGTTTCTGCTACAGAGCTGCTGCTGCCAGCCCTATCTTTCTGTACTGAGCTTGCCTTTGATAAATATAATACAATAAAAGCCTTGTTAACATACGAGTTGATTCTGTCCACACAAACGCTAGAGAGCTTTTAATCTCAAACAGATACGGGAGGCGGGCAGTGTGGCTGCTCTAACTTGTTAACATGGGCGCTGTAATAAAAACAAGGCAATCTGCCGCAGTGTGCACCAGGCTTTAGAAGCAAAGCCTTTTTATGGCAGGGACCCAACTTGCCTGATCGAGTTTGATTTTCAGATGAGATGGAGGAGAAGACAATATCAACAACATCAAGTCCACTGAGTTTGTGGGAGCCATCAATAATCACCGAACATTTGTTGGTTCTAGCTTCTCAAATGTGATCAACGGCCTTAATTCTTTGTTTCACTCAAAATGGAACATGTTTGAGTTGCAAACTGAACTCTTGGTCAGACAAAACAAATCTGCCTCAAGGCCTTTGCACACCAATTCCATATATTTCATTATATAGATTAAAAACTTTACACAGAGAAACTTACTGATGCGTACTGAGTCTGATGCACTTTATTATTCTATTCCGTGTGAAATTCAAAATACGAGTCATCACTCAGTGACGATGATTTTATGACCCTTCCACTTGAAAGTAGAAAAAGAAAAAGGAAATAATTGGGTCCAAGGTGTCAAGAACAAGGAGCTGTCTGCTGCTTCTACTGTCTCAACTCCGTCCTGTCATTTAATCCTGCCTTGCAATCGACACTGTGGCTGCGATGTAGCTTTTAGATTAGGTGCGTAAACATGATTAACACAACGAGAGGTCGTATTGAATTTGTGCAACAACGTTGGACGCAAATGACAGACTTGGTGTGCAAAGGCCTAGAACTGGAGTACGAAGTCATCACTACCCACCCTCTCCTCTTTGGTGCGTGCCCTCATCAGGCGGGCACGGTGCTGGACGTGGTAGTCGTTGTGGTACTTCTTGGCACGCGCTACCTGCTGCCTCTGTTCTCTCAGTCGGTTCTGGGTCGACTTCTGCTGCTGGATGCGCTCTTTGAAGTCCCTCTGGAAGATAAACATATAAGCTTCTCTTGCAACTGGCCGGCGTGGTATGACTGAACAGGCAGGTAAAGTCCGTCTGCAGGTGGGTGCATGCCATTTTGTGACTAGAGTCGTGCACTCTATACATTCATTGTAATTGTTGATAAGTCTGCTAGATGTGAAGGGATCTTTTGAGTGTGTGTTTATGTGTTGGTGCTCACCAGACGTCTGTTGTGGTCTTGTTCTTTGCGGATTATCTCCACCAGCAGGTCGTGTTTCCTCTGGGCTTCCTCCACCTGACAGACAAGCTGTTGTGTTACATATTCACCCAATAATATATCCACCGAATCGCATGTTCCAGATTTTAAAAAGGGAACAGACATCAGAGTCTGGCACCCAGTAAATTTCACTGCACTTCCTTTTGGTTGTGACTTGCAATGGCCACGGTCCTACCTGGCTGGGGAGTTTGCTGCGACGCTGGCTCTGGGAGGATGACAGGGCATACAGCCTGTCCACCTGCTGCATCTGCTGCTCCCACATCCGACCCAGAGCGTGGGGGGAGATGTGAAGGTGGGGCAACTCCTCCAGGAGCACGGGGAGGAGCTCGTTCTCCTTCACCTTCACTGGAGAGTGACAGAGGGGACACAATAAATGTAAAATAAAAGAAAGTTACACTAAAATTCTTCTGTAAAAAGTGAAAAATAAAAGCTTTCTCAGTGGTCACTGTACTCCTGCATCGGAGTTCTGTTACTCTCAAAAGCACATAACTCGACAAAGTATTGACCATTCAGTGCCAGTATCACTAGAAGATGTATTGATGTTTCAATTTAACCAGTGAGGCCATGTCTCACACACACACACACACACACACACACCAGTGGTGAAATCTCTTCCCTAATTAAATTGGAGGAAAATATACACAGACATTTGTCATTTTAAATGCTGTTTTGTCCATTATAATCATCCATTTCACACCTTTACCAAATCGTAAAAGTTCACATTAACTTTATTACCATGACAGTTTATTGGTCGCTAAGAGAAAACGTTATATTCATATTTATAGCTGCAATCGACATTCATTTACATAAGCTACATGATGACCAGCACACTTCCCACCTCTGCAACAGACCGGTTCATTTATTTGAGCTACCCCGACCTGCCTACTGTGTTCATGCGCGCACACCGGTTTGTTGGTGGTGATGTGGCTTGTGTGCTTCCTCTAGAGTATCAAACGACAGAATATGGTTCGTATATGCAAGTTTCCACATTGCAATAATAAAATGACAAGACACACGTCGTGCGGTTTCCATCGACTGCAGTTCTGTAGTTAGTGAATCTCGCGTGAACTCACGTTGTTGCCGGAAGAGGCGTTGTACACGCGAGATGTAAATGAATCAGAAGGTGCGAGGAAGGTGAGCGAGCAGTACGTGTGCAACGAGAAGAGAAGAGAAGAGAAGAGAAGAAAAGAAAAGAAAAGAGAAGA